GGTACCTCTCAGCCTGTTCCAGTGCCCCCTCGGAACTGGGCTGAGACCTCCAGCAACTCCCCCAGCCCCTTCCTGTCTTGCTGGGGGTAGGCATAAGGTCTATATCCACCCCAGGGCCTCCCAGTCTGTCCCAGTTGCCCCCTCAGAACTGGGCTGAGACATCCAGGGAGCCCCCCCCCCACCTTGCTGGGGGGCATAGGGGCAATAACCACCCCTCCCAGTATCTCCCAACCTCTCCCAGTACCCCCTCAGACCTGGGCTGAGACCTCCAGAGACCCCCCTCATCCCCTTCCTACCCTCCCACCTTGTTGGGGGGGGGCATATGGGTAATAGTTCTCCCACTCCCAGAACCTGCCAGTACTTCCCAGCCTGTCCCAGTGCCCCTTTAGAACTGGGCTGAGACCTCCAGAGGCACCCCCCACCTTGCTGGGGGGGCATAGGGGATGTAGCCCCCCTCCTCCCAGTAACTCCCAGTCCCCCCTCAGAACTGTTAAGACTTTCAGTGACACCCCCCCCACATCCCTTTCCAACCCTGCCAGCTTGCTGGGGGTGGGGGTCATAAGGGCTATAGCTCCCACCTCCTAGTACCTCCCAGTCTGTCCCAGTCCTGCCTCAGAATTGGGCTGAGATCTCCAGCAACTCTGCCACCCGCTTCATACCCCCTCCTCTGGGGCAGCAGCAGGGGCTGCCCTGTCCTCCTTACCCCTACCCATTTCCTACCCCACATCTCCCAGGTCAAATTAAACCCCATTGATGTTGTAGAGCCTGGATTGGACTATATAAAGGGGAGGGGTGTTGAATGGGCCACCCTTGGCTCTGCTGGAGCCTGGGTGGCTACCTGGCGGGGGGTGTCACAGAGCTGTGGCAGGGAGGGGGTTTGGGGTGGGCAAAGGTGGGGGGTGTGCATGTGGTATGACCCCTCTGGGTGCCAACCAGCCCCAGTCAGCACCTTGGAGCCCCCAGTCTATCTCAGGAGCCTTGACATGGGAGGGTTCTGGGGGAGGAACCCCTGCCCTATGGCAGGGTCCCCGAGCTTTCCCACATCAGCCCCGGGGTCACCTTGGAGTGGGTGTGGGAGCTGGGGCAAAAGGAAGGGGGCGACTTCCCCAGGGCTGGAGGCGGTGCTGGGCAGGGGGTGCGATTCAATGTTGATCTGTCCCTGCATCCGTTCATCCGCACCCATCCCTCCATCTGGGTGGAGATGTCCCATGTATCCTTTCACATCTGTCTGTCCATGCGCCCGTCCATCTGTCTGTATACCCATCCATCTATCTGTATACCTATCCATCCATCTCTGTATCATCCATCCGTCCATCCATCCATGTGAATGATCTGTGAGACAGAGGGAGATGGTCCATGTCCATCTATCCATCTGTGTGAAGTCTACCTGTCCTCTCGCTGTCTGTCCATATCCATCCATCTCTCTGTGAGAAGTCCATCTGTATTTATTTGTCTATATCCTTCTGTAGCCATTCGTCCATTTGTATGGAGAAATCCATCTGTCCCCTTGTCTCCACTCTTCCCTATCCATGCGTCCATCCTTATGTATCCATGTCCATCCACGTCTATCCCTCTATCTATTGATCTCCCTCCATATTTCTATATTCATGCACTCATTCACATCTGTCTATCCATCCCTCTATCTAAATCCATCTACATTCAACCACTCTTCCACCCGTATCTATCCATGTTTGTCCATCCATCTTCATCCGTCTTTCTATCCACAGTTGTATGCCCACCGTACCCAGGGGCGACGTGTAGGGGGTTCACGTGCATACCCTGAGAGTGCCCCCTGTCAGGCCATGCTCCCTGTGTAGCTGGTGGGCAGGCGGGAGCACCAGTATCCCTCCTGCGAGCGCCGGCTGGGGAGTGGGGCGGCCAGCAAAAGTGGCCACATTGCTTCCAGAAGCGGCCATGGGAGTTTCAAAAGTGGCGCGGCTGCTTTTTGGTGAGTGAGATCAGCTGCAGGGGATCCATATCCATTTGTTCCTGTCCATCCATGGTCCATTCATATCCACACAGGATCACAAAACATGAGGGGTGGAAGGGGGTCACATCTAGTCCAATCCCCCACTGGATATATATATCCATCTGCTTGTCCATCCACATCTGTCTGTTCATTCATCTGTCTTTATTTGTCTATCTGTGTTTGCCTATCCATTTATATTCATATTTATCCCTAGCCCATTCCTCCATCCACATTCACACATATCTACTTATCCATCTTTTCGTCTCCATTCATCCATCCATCCATCCATCCATCCATCCATCTCCACGCACTTACCCACATTTATTTATCTGTATCCACTTGTTTCTGTTCTTCCATTCGTATCCATATATATCTGTTCAGTTGTTCATTCACATTTATCCATTTATTAATCTATATTTATCTAGCCATATTTACATTTTTATACTTATATCTTATTTATGCACCAATGTCTCCATGCATATTCATATATATCCATCTATCCATTCATTTATCCATCCCCATCTATGCATTCATCTCTATTTATCCATCTCTATCGGTTTATTCATATTCATGTATTCATCCGCATCCCTCTGTTCATATCTCTACATCCATTTTTCCATTTGTATACATATATATCTATCCACCCATCTCCATCCATTCATTCTTTTCCATCTGTCCATCTGTTTCCATCTATATATATGTCTACTCATTTTTTCATCCATACTCATAAGTTTTAAACTATCCATCCATCTCTACCCATATCCATCCATCTCTATCCATCATCTGCCCATCCGTCTCTGTATCCATCCATCTCCATGTCCATCCATCCGTACATATCTGTCTACTCAGTTTTTCATCCATGCCTGTTTCCATCCATCCATCCATCCATCCATATCTACCCATTTCTGTCCATCTTTATCCATTTCTATCTACCCATGCATATCCATCCCCCCCATCTGTTGCTATATCTATCCATTCATCCATCCGTCTCCGTGTCAGTCGGTCCATCCATCTCCATGTCCATCTCCATGCATCCCTCATCCCTATAACCTTTTAAGCATCCATCCCTCGATCCCTCCATGTGTTTATTCATGTGGAAAAATCCATCTCTCTGGATCAGGCTATGGCCCCCGGGGGCCCAGGGCTGAGGGAGGAGGCTCATGCCCCATCCCCTGGCAAGGGGCCAAGGGAGGCATAGACAGGAGGGCCCCCATCCAGCCCATGGGGTCTGATCCAGCTTGTGTTGGGGCCCTTCAACACTTCCCCACACCCAAAGACTGAGCATCCCTCAGTTTCATCGTCTTGGGGGACCTGGCTCTGTGTGTGCTCCTCAGTAGGGACCAGAGGGAACAACTCAATATGCTTTTTGCCTCTCCAGACTCCTTTCACACTGCTTTTAGTAGCTCATAGGTAGCTCTGGGTGCCCCGGTCGCAAGCTGGGATTTGGTGCTAGGACTTTAGTGGGGTGGGGCCAGCTGGGGGCCCCTCCCCACCACTGAGTGGCAACCTCAGCTGTTGCCCTCTGTCAGTCTCCTTTCAGCCCTGTGGCTGGCAGCTGCCTCCCTCCCTGTCTCTCCTTGGCCTCGGGCCCCCCACGGCCCCCATCCAGCCCCATGGTGATCCCCTCGGCCCTGGAGGGGCCTCCAGCCCCGCTCACGGCCCTGCGCCTGGGCTGGGGCGGCAAGCAGCCGGCCTGCTATCTTCCCTCCTCCCGCTGTCACCGCCAGCCCTCCACAGGTGGGTCGGGGGGGTGGGGGGGGAAGGTTGTTATCCACTTCTGCATCGAATGGGGCGGGGGTTGAACCCCCCCAGGGGTGCTAATGAGCTGGTACGTCCTTAATCTATAGCAATCAAGGGGCATTGGATGTGGGGGGGGATTGGGATCAAGGTGTATGGGGGGTTTGAAGCTCCCCAGGGCTGCTAATGAGCCAGGACCTTCTTAATCTGGGGGGGGGAGGAGGCGGCTGGGATCAAGGGTTGGGTGTAGGAGGTTATCTACCTCTGCATAGCATTGGGGATGCAGGGGGTTGAAGCCGGGCAGGGCTGCTAACTGAGACCTTGTTAATCTATAGCAATCAAGGGGCATTGGATGATGGGTGGGCTGGCTGCTAAGATCAAGGAGTATCTGGGGCAGGTATAGGAGGTGGTTTTCCAGCTCTGTGGGCCATGGTGGGGATTGAAGCCCCCTGGGGATGCTAGCGAACTGGGACCTCGTTAATCTATAGCAGTAAAGGGGCACTGGATGTGGGGGGTGGGCTGGGATCAAGGGGTATCAGTATGTCTGCATTGGGGGGGAGCCCCTTTGGGGCCTGGGGGGTATAGTAGGTTGTTTTCCCGCTCTGTGTGGCATGGCCCAGGGGGGCTGTTAATGAGCTGGGATCAAGGGGGCAGTGGCTGTTATCCAGCTCTGTTCAGCGTTGGGGGCAGCCCCTGGGGTCTGCTAATGAGCCAGGTCCTTGTTAATTTACAGAGACCCCTGGGAGGGGGCTGTAGGGGGGTTGGGATCAAGGGGTGTCAGTATGGGTGGGAGGCATGAGGGGATTTATGGGGGGGTGGGGGTTACTAACGAACCAAGTCCTCAATAACCTGCAAAGAGAGACTGAGATCAAGGGGTGTCTGTGAGGGAGAGGGAGCTGTGCCTTGAGAGCCCAAATTCATTGCCACACCCCAGAGTCAGCTGCATTTCGGTGCCAGTGGGGGCTGGGTATCACTGGGAGGTGAGGAGGGGCCTGCCTCAGTGCATGCTGGGGGAATGCCAGGCAGGAATTCTACCATAATCCCTCAGTGCCCCCCCTCCGCACAGGAATGCAGCTGGGGGCAGGGGGGCAGGGTGCCAGCTGGCAGCCCCCCCCTCCTCCCCTGCCCCCCTCCCCGGTTCGTGTGCTAGCATGTGCAGAGGTTCATGTGCCTTGGGGTCACTAGTGTGTGCAGTGAGGTCACTGGTGCGTGCAAAGGTCTGGGTACAGGAGGGTCACTAACGTGCAGGGGTGCATGTGTGTTGGGGTCACTAGTGTGTGCAGGCATTTGTGTGCAATGGGGTCACTGGCATGTGCAAAGTACTGTGTACAGTGGCCTCATTAGCACGTGTAGGGGTCTATGTGCACTGCGGTCATTAGTGCGTGCAGGAGTTCACATGCATTAGGGCCGCTGGCGTGTGCAGAGCTCCCTGTGTAACAGGGTTATTAGCATGTGTAGAAGTCCATGTGTCTTGGGGTCACTAGTGTGTGCAGGGGTGCACGTACAGTGTGTAGGAGTGTGTGTGCACAGGGTTCACTAGCCTGTGGAAGACCTTGTGTTGGGATCACAGTAGTGTGTGGAGTGGGATATCTGGCAGGTGCAGGGGGTTCACGTGCAACAGGGTCAGTAGCACATGCAAGGGTCTGTGTATAATGGGGTCGCTAACATGTGCCAGGGTCTGTGTGCATCTGGGTTGCTAGTATGCAGGGGTCCACGTGCAACAGGGTCACTAGCACAAGCCAAGGTCTGTGTGCAATAGTTGCCGCTAGTGTGTGCAGGGATCGTGTGCATTGGGGTCACTAGTGGTGTGCAAGGGTCCACATACAGTAGCAAGGGTCCCAAAGAAATTTCTAGCATGTGCAGGGCCAAGATCACCCTCCCCAGGTGGAGGGAGCCTGGCTCTTGGCACTGTTCACTCTGGAACCTAATGATGACTCCTGGAGCCAGAAGCCTCATGGCTGCCAAGATCCCTCCTGCTGGGGTGGAGGGGTGTGCTCACTGCGGCCATGCCTTTCCTGGGGCCCTTACCACAGAGACCAGGGGCACTGGCAGGACCCCCCTCCCACACCCTCCTCCCCTCCCCTAGACACCTGGGTTCTCAGTGCAGCTGCCAGGAGTTAAAAATAGCCCCCTCAGCTGTGCTGGGTCAGCTGCAGCCCAGCCTGCCCCCCTCCTGCTGGGGTGGAGGGGTGTGCTCACTGCGGCCATGCCTTTCCTGGGGCCCTTACCACAGAGACCAGGGGCACTGGCAGGACCCCCCTCCCACACCCTCCTCCCCTCCCCTAGACACCTGGGTTCTCAGTGCAGCTGCCAGGAGTTAAAAATAGCCCCCTCAGCTGTGCTGGGTCAGCTGCAGCCCAGCCTGCCCCCCTCTCCTGCCTGTTGGGGGGGAGGGGGGGGTCAACCAAACACTGACGGGTGG